CAGCCTTTGTTTCAAATTCCCACAACAAAAGTGAGCACTGGACACCCAAGACCAGACATTTCCTATTATATGTTGTAGCGGGTTTGATCAATGCAGTGCAAGTTTTTGGCGTGCTAGTCAGAGCAGTCTGATGAATATTAAGAAATAAAGAACTAAAATAGTTGGATCAAACCATACAGAACAACCAGCAAACAATAATGATGCAGAACAGCACCCAGGCATAAATCAACAATTAAATCTTGGTATTTTTATTCGGGTGTAATAAAATTTTAAAATTGTAAATTGTAATAAAGCATTAAAAGTCCAAATTCTTTCAAACAGTGGTGTTTGGGTGAGATGCTGATTTAGTTGCAGTTATACAGCCGTCCAGTAGGGGACGAAAAACAAGGGGTCTAGAACTGCGGGTCCAGAGCTGCGGGTCTGAATCTGCAGTCTCCGGGTCTGCAGAGACATACTATTGGGCCCATCTTAGAGAAAGTTGGAAAGAAAGACTCAAAGTGTTTGGGGGAATGAATAGGCAACATAATTTAATATATTGGCCTATCTTTTCTTTTAATGTTTAGTGTTCTGCTGCACAAACCACTCACTGTTTACCAACCAGGCATATATTCATATAGCCTACTGTATATTTATGTTTTCCAATTTTCAGATTTGTGCAGTTTGTGATGTTACAGTTGCATGTTTTATATTTTGACTGTTTGCGTTGTGTTTAAAATGTCATTAGATCAAGGTAGTCTGTAATGTTAGGTGCTATTATGGTTATGCCATGATGGTTTCACAATCAACAGCTATTTGATTAATATATTGTAAAAGCCCAGTTTGTCAAATATACATATCTCCTCTTTTTAGATGCACTTCTGAAGTGTTTGTCCCCCACCTCTGCAAATCCTGGGCCTAATGTAACTGCAGCCACCTTATTCACCTCAGCAACAAGTGATGCAGCCTCAAGTGCATCTCCCTCCCACACACAAACTGCCAGTGGAGAAATAAGATCACATTCTCCGATCCCCTCTACCTCAGCGCAGCCTGCCAGTGGAGAAACAGGTTATTTTAGAGAATGTAGACTGTTAAGAGATTAACAGGTTTTTTTTAAATTTATTGTGAACTGTAAGTTAATATAACTTAAGTAATGTTCATGTTCTTTATTGCAATGCAATATTTGTTTTCTTATCGTTATTTTCTACATCTATTCTATTTTTATTATTGATGTTGTTTTAACTCTGTACCCACCTATGTGCAGCACTTTGGTCGACTGCCGTTGTATTAAATGTGCTCTAGAAATAAATCCTGACTTGACTTGACTTGTTCCACGTCACTAAACAACGTCCCAGTGTGAGAGAGTCATGGTCTGTTTGAAGGTGTTTGAAATGCAAATAAAGGAAAATATTAGGAAACAGATACAGTACACAGTTATCATGTTTCAGAAGCAGCAGATTTTCTCTGAGTCACCAGTCGCTAAAGGTAAAACAGAACTTAAATTATGTGCTGGCAAAGATTCAGGATTCAAGATTAACTTTATTGTTACCGTGTTTGACAAATTTAATTCTAATGCTTAATTTTGATACCTCAAGTATCAAAGGTAAAAGTAATCATTATATGTAATGTTCTTTTCATTCAACAATAATTTCAAAGGTATAATAACAAATTACTTAACAGATTCAGATTAATACAAAATATAATCATCAAATAAATAATGATGTCTTACTACAGGTAAAGTATATAAAGTATTAAAGCTATGGAAAATGAAACTCTAAATATACTTCGTTTTAAGCATATCATGTGTTCATGTGTGTCTTACCTTGACAGAGGTTCACTTGGTGAGAGCACAGTAATGTCCTGTCATATGTTTCTGTCAGGATGTCTCACGTGTTGCTTTTGCCTAATCTTTTGAAACACTCCCATGTGCCAAAAGAGCCGCCCCAGTAGGTTCAGTTTCTCTGACAGACATTGCCTGCAACAGGTTCCAAAAAAGTTGGAACAGGGGCAACAAAAGATTGAGAAAGTTGTGGAATGTTTGAAACGTTCCATGAGTGAACACCTTCAGTGACAACAGATTGGGTATGAGACAAAAGGTTCACCATTTTGTGAAAAACTGTCTGGGCAAGGGGCGGCACAGTGGTGTGGTGGTTAGCACTCTTGCCTCACAGCAAGAGGGTTGCCAGTTCGATCCCGGGCGTGGGAGCCCCTCTGTGCGGAGTTTGCATGTTCTCCCCGTGTCTCCCTGGGCACCCCGGCTTCCTCCCACAGTCCAAAGACATGCAGATTGGGGACTAGGTTAATTGATAACTTTAAATTGTCTGTAGGTGTGAATGTGAGTGTGAATGGTTGTTTGTCTCTAAGTGTCAGCCCTGCCATAGTCTGGTGACCTGTCCAGGGTGTACCCTGCCTCTCGCCCAATGTCAGCTGGGATAGGCTCCAGCCCCCCCAGCGACCCCCAAGAGGATGAAGCGGTTAGAAGATGAATGAATGAATGAATGAATGTCTGGGCAGGACGTCCAACATATAAAACCAACCAAATAAAGTTTAATATTCCGCATCATGTAACATTTGCCTTTGGTGAAACCATTTTAATGATTTCTGTTTAATAAGGATAGTCATCCAAATGAAAAGGACAGCCAGCAGTGTTTTATGGAGCAGAAAAATAACTGTAAAGAAATTTGCTGGCATCTAGTCAAATGTAATAAAACAAGTAAGTGTTGGCAGTCACAAAAATAATAAGGAGAGTTGATGGCGTGCCATACAATTCTTGAACCCATCTCAACCTAAAAGAATAGAATTAATTCTACTATATTGAACTACACAGCATAATTTAGTCTTTGCTGGCCTACTGAATCCTATAATTTCCTGCACACACTACCTGATAAAACCTTCTTTCTCCAGTTGTTGGGAACAGGAATGTTATTTCTTTACATTTCTAATGCCAGTTATGGCATTTCTTTGGAGTACCTCGCTGTTTTTAATTTATTGACCTCCTTTCTTTTGATGTCCCTCTGCAGTGGTGACCTCTCAATATTTTTGTCTTTTGCCACTGTTATGATTTTCCACCCTTTGTAAAATTGACTGCTGTCTCCATGAGACAGAAATGGGGTGGGTCAACTTACCCACTGGCTCATGTTACCCCACTCTCCCCTATGTCATATACCCACTAAGAAAGCTCCAGTCTTTCTGTTTAGCCTTATTCGTAGGGATACATAACACTTTACGTACCAATTGTTTTCACAAACACACAGAAGAAAGGTACATTAAAATGAGTTTTGCAAAGGCAGAGTTCAACGTGGACAATGTTGAGCTGAGTACTTAGATGAAACGAGTGTCCAGTACTTTTTACAAGTACGAGTATCATCTGAGTAAAATGTGTTGGGATCTTAACCTTAACATGAGCCTGACCTCGTAACAGATCTCCAATCAAAATATGGCTATCAGAAATAATTGATAATAATAATTATTAATTATGTTAAATAATGTGACTTTTGTGAATTTACATTAAATCACCTTGTGGGGCACCATTCCTGAAAAGGGAACAATGATAGCCAGTCAGTGATATCAGTCTCATAAAATACACTAAACTATCAATTTGGAACCTATGATTAATAATTAAAATAATAACCTTAACCAAAATGACCATATTAATAGTAAAGGCTGAAGGATTTCAGGGTTCTTGACATAGCAGAGGATGACTCTTCATTCACTCTTGTGCAATATCAAACAAACAGCAGGTATGATGAAGCAACAAAACACACAAATTCTAAGTAAATAACAATACAAGCATGGGTGTGTATGTGTGTAGGTTTGTGTGTGTGTGTGTGTGTGTGTGTGTGTGTGTGTGCGCGAGAGAGAGCGAGAGAAAAGGGTGGATGTGTCGTGTGTGAAACAAAGGCTGCCTGGCCTACAAAACAAAATGGCTGACAACAAAGTTTAGAGTTCAGAGTTTAGAGTTTATTTATTTGCACAAAGGACTACAAGGGGATGTCGGGTTGATGGGGGACAGGGCACCGATGTGGCAGGCCTTGGGTATAATAGCTTAAAAAGGATTCAAATTTCGAATAAGTCATCAACCATCTAAGTAAATCTTTCTTATATAGCACCTTTCACAGTTTGAAGTCACAAAGTGCTTTACAATAAAAATACAAACAGTTAAATAAATAAAAAACACAGCAAGTACAAACAGAGAGATACAGTGCAACAGAAACAACAATCTATATACAATCTATATAATTATTTACAATTGTCCAAACGGCTGCCTAAAAAGGTGTGTCTTCAATTGCACCTTAAAAATATGGACAGAGGCTAAGGATCTCAAGGAGTTCCAAAGCTTTGGGGCCATGGATTGAAAAGCTCGGTCACCTCAAGTTTTCAGCCTCGTCTGAGGCACAACCAGGAGTCCCTGGTTAGAAGACCTCAGTGACTGGCTGGTGACATAAGGGTTGAGGAGCTCGCAAATGTAAGCAGGGGCTACTTTGTGGAGGGCTCTGTATGTCAGGACCAGGACCTTGAATTGGAATATAAAGTGTGCAGGGATGCCAGGATGGGGGTGATATGGCAAGACGTATGTGACCGAGTGAGCAACCTGGCAGGAGCATTCTGGACAAGTTGTAAACGGTCCAGAGATGTTTTACTGAGGCAGGTGGACAGTGAATTGCAATAGTCAAGCTGGGATGAAATAAATGCATGCTACCGTTTTTTTTCCCCATTAAAGGGTTTTTTTTGGGGAGTTTTTCCTTATCCGCTGCGAGGGTCATAAGGACAGAGGGATGTCGTATGCTGTAAAGCCCTGTGAGGCAAATTGTGATTTGTGATATTGGGCTTTATAAATAAAATTGATTGATTGATTGATTGATAGCCATTTCCAGTTCTGAGTGAGATGATAGACCTGAGTTTGCAAGGTTTCTGAGGTGGAAGAAGTTTGTCAAACAGCATGCTTTGGTCAAAAATTACCCCAAGGTTCCTTAGGTCAGACCTGATGGTATGTACTAGTGACCCCATGTGGTTGACCACCTTAGAGACCGTAGAGTCATCAGCAGTAATGAGAACCTCGGTCTTGTCTGCGTTTGGTTGGAGGAAGTTGTTGGCCATCCAGTTCTTGATAGCAGACTCTCTGAGGACACAGTTTTGCTGTCTCCTACGATCTCAACCAAGTGGGAGTGGGGGAAAGCCCCTCACTTTGAAACAGAAGTGGATCTTGAGAAATCTGGATTTCCTCAAACCATTAGTGATTCCCCGTAACACTGAGACTAGCCTTGTTGTATCATCTGTGGTGCAGTGAATCCGTTTCACCCAAGCCACTACTAGAGGAGATGACACAATGCTGATTAAGCTGATCGGCTCCTCTAACATCTCGCGGTATTTTTCAATATATATCATTTTTAGTTTGCATGTCAACCGGCAACATTCCCGCGCTGGCGCACAGGAAATGCTTCCTCACAACAAGAAGGGAGGGGGAGGAAGAGCGGAGAGTGTCATAGCAAGAGGTAGAGCGCAGGTAGAAAGAGAAAGCAACATGGCGGAGAAGCGGCCGAGACACGGTTCAGAAGTGGATCCTACCACAAAGAAAAAGCCTGGACGTTCGACTGAAGGTCTATTAGCAAAGAAGGAAAGTGACCGACGGAGAAGGCAAACAAGGATTTGTATTGGCGTCGCTTTTCCTTGGTGGAGAGCCCTGAAGGAAGAAATTGGGCTGAGGGCAGACACGGATGTTGCCTTGCTGCTGTTGGATAAGTAAGTGACTTGGTTTATAATTATATTATGAGTAGTATGTGTTGCTGTTACATGTACTGGACCTAGTACTTTATTATTTTCTTGGAAATGGTGCTATGAACGTAACGTAATGTTAGCAGCCTGGTGTTCGCCACGTTGTGTAGCATTGTGTACACGGTGTGAAGCGAGTGTTATTCTGTGTACATGGTGTGTGGCGACTGGCAAGTGTTACTCTGTGTACAGTGTGTGGCGAGTGTTACTCTGTGTACAGTGTGTGGCGAGTGTTACTCTGTGTACGGTGTGTGGCGACTGGCGAGTGTTACTCTGTGTAGTGTGTGGCGACTGTTACTCTGTGTACATGGAAGTGCCGCCGGCTTATTAGTTGTAATAACGCATTATCCGCTGGGAGGCAACAGATGTTACGCACTATAGCTTTAATATAAGTAATAATAATAACAACAACAATAATAATAATAATTACTAGTCCATACCCATTGGTAGCTTTGTCACCTTCTACCTATGTCAATCCTCAATGCTTTTGTGAAGTTTCACGTAGATTGACCACGTCAGTGAGTAGAAAAACGTGGGACAGACAGAATGACACTG